AATGTAGTACCAGATCGACAAATATCATAAGTAATATAATAAGAATTATTCTTGGGGAAAAAATTGTCTCAGCTTCCGTTATTCGATATGCCAATTTTCGATACGAAATTTGTATATAAACATTTATACGTTTTTTAACGTTACGATAAATCAATATGTAAAAAAACAATTATTTTTTAAAGAAAACTAGTTAAAAAAAAATGTGCACATAACACAAAGTATTTGTAATGAACGACGATAAAAGAATATATATCGTACACAACCGTCTAAACACAACAAAATTTGTCACATTCGAAGATCACTGAATATCAATGAGATATTAAATTATTTACCTCAATTTCGCGTCTACTTTCTGCCACTTTATATATATCTATGTCTATGGTTTACAATGACAAGAAACATATGACGCGTTGAGAATTATATTCAAAATGACTGAATTATACCATGCTGAGCATAATTAATGATTTCTTTTTTATCATACTTTAGGAGCATTGACTGCTCCTTATCATATCACGTTAGGTCTATCGTGGATGAAGAATGTGTTTATTGTACAAATGTTCAGCAAAAATGCACGTTTTACGAATACGATTAACAAGTGATAAAAATATTAAATCAGTACGCAAAGGTAGAAATTTATCTTTATACCCTTACTTCTGTACTATAGGATTGAAAACAAGCATTAGTACAACTTCTTCGCCTGTGCTTCTTTGTTGTCTCTGCAAACAAAAAGATGATTTAAGTTCGATAAATATGGCTACATCATCTATGTAAGACAAAGTAAATATTTAAAATAAAGCAAATATTTACCGGTACATGCTGTACGCTAGTAAAATTATCATCTGAACTGCCACAAAAAGTAAGAACATCGTTGTTGTTAAACAGCTCGTTGTTGGACAATCTGTTCCACCATTGTTTACTTTAGTGCTTATTTGCGTAATATCTCTTTTTAATGTATTAAGTCCATCTCGCATTTCCGAAATAAGTGAATGATAATCATATCCCATCGGCTGCACCTATATAATATTCATTTTTAGTTGAAAATATTACTGGAAAACTATCAAAATTAAATGTTAATAAACACCTGAGCGGTAGGACTTCGAGCCTGATTATTAAGAATAAGATCAGTCTTGGAATGCACCTCATTTATATAGGATTCTATTTGTTTTGCTGTACTTATTATATTTTTTTGATTATTTAATACAGTATCGACTTCTTGTCGGCGAATCGTATCAATAAGCTGTATTTGCCCTGGTTGGCCTCCCGCTTGCACACCTACTTATTTTATAGTTGCTAAATTTCCTATTTACATTTATGTTTAATTATCGATAATTCAACAAGACCTTACCACCAACTTGAAGTTGGGATATTAAACTTAAAGATCGCTCTTGTCTTCCAACTATTTCGTCGAGTTTCCTATTAAGTTCGCGCAGCGCATCGAACATTTGACTTTGACCAGAGAAAATTTGTCGCAATTCTCTTTGATTATCAGTTTCAAAATATTCTACAAATTCCTCTTTCTCACGATGTTCGTTTGGATGATCTCTGTCGAATTAAATTATTTTGTGAAAACACACCTTATACTTGAAATATGCTCGTGTAATGTTCTTTACCTCCTATACTCTTCTTTCTGTTGTTCCAATTTTTTCTGGTAATCCATATACTCCTGACTAAGCTTTTGTTGTTCAAGCTCAAGAGATACTTTATGCTCCTCAGTCCTCATCTGACCAGTAAGAAACAGAGAATGTGTTAAGAAATGTGAAACATCATGGTCATCGGCCAAACCACCTTAAATGAAACATTATAGAAAATTGTAATTATATTGAAATAAAGATTAACTTGATATTCTTCTTATAATAAGTACCAGTAGCAGCAGAGACACCAAAGTACCCTCCTTTTGGTAGAACAACATTTTCAACTCGGAAACATATTTCATAATCTTGTTCATTGTTTGTCATACCATTATGGAATAGCACCTTTAATTAAGCATTAAAAATTATATGACAAGTACAATAGCAAATAAGAATACATATAAATTTATAAATACACTTACTGTTAGAATGTTCTCATAATATTCAATTTTTGCTCTTGTAGCAAATGGCTTATTACGAAAATCTCTTAAGCAACCAGCAGATAGCTGTGTTGTACCATCGCTATATTAAAATCAAGGTAAAGAATCATTCATTGAAAATATTAATTAACACTAAAAACACTAAAAAATATAATAAGAAATGCAATTCACTTGGTATGATCAAAGCTTTCTGTGCCATCATTGAGGACTGCCATGATGTAAGGGTTGTTGTGTTTATTGTCATTGTCAAAGGAGTCAAAAAAAATTCCAAGACCTTTCCATTGATCAGAACTACCAAAGACAGTGCCATTATAAGCACCCTTTTCAGCAGTGTACCAAAAGGCTAAACCATCCGCTCCAATTCTTCCCCTTCCTGTTATTCTGAATATTAATTCAACTTCCCACCAATTAAAGGTAACAGGCTGTTTCACCCATATCGCACCTAAATATTATTTTAAATTCAAATATCATACCACTTTTTATTAATATAAAAGGATTATATCATGTTAACTTCTATTGACCATATGCCTGATATAATAATATTGGATGTCATATAATAACTACCAAGTGGCAGTTTAAAATATCTTTATTTGCATTAAGAAATAATCTTTATTATGATTGAAGAAAATTAAAAATAGAAGTTAATAAAATCAATTTTTCACATACCTTTCTGGCTTCTCAACGATGGAGCAACTCTAACGTTTTCTGCGCTAGCAATTGCATCTGAAATAAAGATGATATTTGTTGTAAATGATAGAACAATAAAAAATTACTTATAAAACAATATATGATATACCATATATTCATGGATATATACCAATATACCATAAATTCATGGATATGATAATAAACTTCTATATATCATAACATTGAATTATAAAATTGAATTCCTACGTATAAAAACATATTTCGAACAATTACCTGTGTTTAAATGTTTAGAATAAACTAAATTAGTATTTCAAGTGTAAATAACAACATGTACATGTGTTGTGATTGTTGAAATTTCACCAAATTTTACCAAGTAAATATCATCATTTTAATGCATAAATTCATTCAAGAGCATGAAATTCAATTAAAATTGGAATTTCTAAACAAAATAATAGCGTTTTCCATTTAAATAATCAAAAAGCCGACTATAAGAAAAGAACATACGGCAGTATTTTATAACACGCGTAATTGGTTAGGTTGATACTTTACTTACTTCCTCCGTATTCCCAAAAAGGCACGCTCCCATCTTTTTGTGCGAGATACGGTGGCTTAAACGAGTATTTATATTCGAATTTTCGATGGGGCGTCTCACCGAGAACCGCATAAATTACACAAAATACATGAAAAATTAAAAGCCACCTCACCTCGGCGGCCATCTTCATTTCGACTGTTGAATCGAAAGTAGATTGACCGTAGTCGACTCTGCAACCAGTTAAAACGATTGGTAGTACTCTCTATGAATTCTTCTTTTGATTGGTGTATTACCAATGACGTGTCAATTTTGTAGCCATATTTCGAAGACTTCACCCTCCACTACTGTTGTATTATTTTACTGCTATTATAACTTTTTATTTTCTTATGATATTCGACTTGGTAAAAGGATCACATAGAAGTTTATTAGTTTCCTACCATGAGCCTTATGTTTCTCTGTTTTTTGAGGACGTGTCATAGAGAAACATGGCGTTATAATGAATCAAGTGTCCGGTAGATTTAACAATGAATAAGGAATTTATCAATGAACGTCATTCGTCTAGAATTGCACGAATGCAGCTTTTGCAGAGTAAACAGTTTTAAAAATTATTGATAAAACTCTGTGACGATATATGATTCAACTATAGATCCTTTAGACAGTACAAAATAGCATATACATTGAGGAATTTTTTACTAAACGTGTTAAGTACATATATATTTTTAGTATTCTTATTGCACATATTTAATTATGTAAAAATAAAACTGTTATTTCATTGTTGCTGATAAAGCGAAAGTTTCGAAATCGCTGATGTATCACTGATAAAACTTGCTTATCCTTGTATTCGATCGTATCTTTAAATTTTACAAACTTCAATATGTACAATACCAGAGAGAAAATATAATCCCTACGAATATTAACAAGCTTGTTTAAAATAGGTATGTAAATAGTTCATGCAGACACAAACGTATAATTTACAAATCTTTCAAATATATTGGAGTATATGTAAGTATATAAAAAACTAAAGCATATTAATATTTCATATGATTATTTTATTGTTTCTATTTTCTGTTTAAGCAAAAAGGTCGATACAATATATGATACGATATGATACAAAAATCAGCTATTTATGTAACTTTTAATATGTACATATCTATTTTTTTCCATGTAGAGAATGATTGCAAATACAAAGCCAAATACATACATTTTCTCAGCTGATTTCAGAACGCAGCTGTTACCAGTTATTCGATGTGTAATCTCTAATAGTGAACGTCCTCTTTTCCATATATCCGTCTCCAATGGAAATACGTTCAAGATGGCGTCGCTCATTGACAACTATGAGCAACAATACGCCGTTTTGACAGCTGACATTACTGCAAAAATTGGTAGAATAAGAACACAAAGCGGCAGTAAGTACGATCAAAACAGAATCATAGTGGTTCTCTTATTGTGGAGCACAAATCGTTGTTTTTAAAGTGAACACTGTCTATCCTCTGGCATTATTAAACAACAATAATCGATACACGTGACGTAATTTACAGATGAGAAAAGGCTGTCCATTCAAGATGTGGATAGGCAGATCGAAGAGGCTCAAGAACTGGTAAAATGAAATATTTATTTTGTCTTCTATTTTAAAATCATTCTAATACATCAAAGTTTCAACTTGCTAAAAAATTCCGAAAGTTTATATTTTCAGTTTTAGGGTTAGAATGAAATTGATTTTTCATTTTTATTTTGCATATGAAAATAAGTAGAATGAAAGGATCATATATTTTAACGACAGTATTTAATCAAAGACCGAATAACTATATAAAGTTTTGATAGTTTCTGTTGTTCTTATGTTTGACCTGTAGCTCGAGCAAATGGAATTGGAGGTTCGTGGGGTGAATGGTGCAGCACGTGATCGCTTGCGCGGTCGAGTAGAGAGTCATAGGGCAGAATTAAAACGATTGACACAAGAATTTCAATCAGCCAAAAAGGCAAAGGATGAAAGTATTGAAATAAGCAGGGAAGATTCATGGGAGAATAATATTACAGAGGACCAGAAAAAAAGATTATTAGATACCTCGGAACAAATAGACCGCACAGGTAGAACTTTACAGAATGGATATCGAATGGTATTAGAAACAGAAGAAATTGGTTCTCAAGTATTGAAGGAACTGCACGAGCAAAGAGAGACGATTCAAAAAGGAAGAGCAAGGGTAGGATATTAGTTTGATCTTATATGTATATATTATATAAATATACATACATATATATAAATTTGTTACTGTTACAATGTTATTATTAATACGATAATATAATTTATTTGTTCTAGTTACGAGATACGGATGCAGAGCTAGGTCGTGGTTCACGTTTACTCTCGGGAATGATGTTTAGAAGTCTTCAACAAAGAATTATTTTAGCAGTAGTGGGATTAACGCTTATAATTGTTGCTTGTATTGTCATGTACTATAGCTTTAAATCTAAAAGCTAAAGACGAAAGTAGAACGAACGTTTTGGTCGGGAGATATTGGTTCAGAAGCCATATTTAATATTCACTCAATTTCAGGTATTATGATTATTGAATACAATGTTTGTTAGGGGATTATTAAATTACACACGAAGGAATGTTATATATCATCCTTTCATTGATGTTTTCACTCATTTGGAGCATTTAGTATCATTATGATTTAAGCCTTCTATGCTCACTAATGTTAATCACAGTTCCGTATGGATTCAATATATATTTAATGTTACCACACAAGAAGAAACGCTTAAATATGACAGAATTACGTCAAACAGTGAGAGAAAAGTTCTAATGTATTATTAATAATTATAAAAAGTTAATCTGTCCAGCGCCATATGTGAACATTGTTCACAGAAACGGAATTTATTAAAATGTTCCCATGTATTTAGAATCATCTTGTAGTACGTTTTTAAGTTGTCCGGTTTTGCAATCTATTTATTACATTAATCTCAAGTTCGTTTTACACATTGCACATATACCCGATTGCATTTTACGGTAATAAATGATTATTTGTTTTTAAATATCCTACTTTGTACTAGATCATAATTCAGAATTCATTTGACTATTGTTATCGATAAAAATATACATCTATAATGTACCGTTAAGTGTGTCATAAAGGCGGTAATAATTTGTATCAAAATACAGGAATAGGGAGACGAAGAAATCTGTAAATACACGCGACAAATATCGAAGGATGACTATAGTCAAGAGAAAACGAGACGCACCTAATAATAACACATTTTATTATAATGTTATCGATTATCTAAATAGCCTAAACGGTGCTTTTCTTCTGCTTTTTTTTTGCGCCTCTATGTAATTGTGAAGAAAATGATATAATAAAGTATCGCGGGGTAACAAATATTCGATGGCGGAAGTGATTTCTCTATGAATGCGACGCAAACGTGTCTCGATTTTTCGCGTTGCTGTTCTCGATGCTAAAGAAAACAGAATCAAAGACAATGCTCAGTCTAATCAGTCCAAATGTCGATAGAGATCTTCTATCTGCGGTTTGAAGTAGTCTTTCAACTGAGGTCGTTTCATTTTCAATGTTGGTGTAAGAAGGCCATTTTGTACGGAGAACGGATCCGGATGTAAATAAATATCTTTCACCTGATATAAACAGAAATGATAGTATTGTATATAACTTTCAAACTGCGTCAATGATAGAAGTTACTTCGAAATTATTTCACTTTACAGTAAAATTTTTATCCTTTAAACGTTACGTGAGCGGTGCGTTTAAAGGTCTTGGGTACTTTAGTCGAAAAATATTTTTAACTGTTACGTCGATAAAAAAGACCTTGCTTTTTTGTTTTCCTTTATGCGCGCAAACAAATGAAAGCAAATTAATTTTTTTAAGTAAAAATATTGGCAGATTTTTCCCACCTGTTCGAAAGATTTGAGACCGGCTTCTTTTCCCCACGAAAGCATGTCGTCCATGATCAACTGTTTGACTTGCGGATTAGCACATAATACGCTGAGTGTACCTGGTATACCGTTCTCTACCGCCCAACATTTTACAACATCTACGTGTGGTATTACTATTCCTACAACGCAAGATTTTAGGGATTCCCCATGGAGGAACACTTGATGAACATATTGACTGCGTAAATAAATATTCTCGATTTTCTCTGGAACTATGTACTCTCCTTGCGAAAGCTTGAAGGTGTGTTTCCTTCGATCGATTATTTTAAGTGTTCCGTTCTAGAAAGAAAGAATCGTATTAATCTGATTAATTCAAATAGAAAATATCGAAATAGTAATAAAAGTATAATAGTAGTAATATTCTATTTGTAACAAAAAATTAATTCGAACTTGCGTTGAGCCAGATGTATCATAAGAAATATGTTTAATTATATCGTTTCCTCTTACAGGTAACCACATGCCAACGTCACCGGTATGATGCCAGCCGAATTCATCGATAACTTGAGCGGTTCTTTCGGGATCCTTGAAGTACCCTACGAAAACGTTGGTGCCTTTTACGCACACTTCGCCTTGATTCTTCTTCGCAAAGTATTCCATTTCCGGAACGTCCACCAATTTAATGCAGCAACAAGGGACTGGTGGACCTACATGTTCTGGTACATGATCGCCCTATAATAATAACGCATAAAGGTAGATAAATTCAGATTCTCGCTATTAGATATCGAAAACATTTTTAGCTAATTCTTTAATCGTATTTTTAACATTGTACGTTTTTAAACTGATAATTCATTCGGGCGAATGCTTCGTAATTACTTGAAACATTCGCTGCAAATATTGTTAAGCTGCTGTGTAACGTACTATGTAAATCGAATAAATCTGCAAATCAACATACGTACGAGAAATATGTAAATTTGGTATTTTTGTACGATTGCAACAATAAGTCTACCAGTTATCAGTTTAAACACTGAAGTAGAAATTATAAATTACGAATATCTTATCTAACTTATATAATTTACATCGAACTGTTCGTTATAACGGAATGTCAGTTACGACACATAGTAAAACCATATTTTACACAGAACGGCTATTTGTTATCGCGAGCTGAGCAATTATTTATTCTATGCCATCACTCGGCATTACACCGTGTACCGTAGTACGCCGAGTATTTTACAAATGTTCTCTTTTTAACGTAATTTAGACCATAATGACTTTGTACAGAGTGATAGAATATTTGACAGTAGTTGTAGACGCGTATGCATACATATATTTACACGGTCGATCGTGATGATTTACCAAGTGACGTGATTTACCACGTGCTTTGGCGCGTGGTTGCAACATTTTTTTCTCGCCGGTCTGCCCGACAAGAATATACCTATGCCCGCGTATAAATAATAGCTGGTTTCGTCTAGCCACGTATAATACATCGATACCTGTAAATATGCCAAGAATAGCGACCACGCGTGTCACTTGATCGTTGTTCGATTGAACTCGATCGAAATCGAATGATCTCATCGCGTGTTCACCATTGTTTCCTCGACTTGTCTCCACTTAGAGGCTATCAATTCCAACGAAGAGAAAAAATCAGTTTTAACAAGCGAATTTTCCATCGAAATTAAATTATTATTTATTATTCGCAAATCAAACGCTGCACGAATCCTTTGCGTAAACATCGTATTTTAAATTGACGATAACTTTCGGATAATTTATTTTTTTAACACAAAATGGCTTGCTTTTCTAGCTGGCTGAAATCTGTAACCCGCGATTTATAAGGTCAGCGAGTGCACGAGCGATTTATTTACGGAGCATTTATTGACCGGCTCTTTCGCCGTAGAGATACGGCTATGTATCCGTTTCGAGTTGAAACGTCTGTTAACGTACCCCGTTTATTCCCCTCATTGCATTCCATTCACTACATGTATATGTATAGTATTACTCGAGTAAGAAACGGTTAAACGACAAACGTACTTTGAGGTAACTGCATGTCTTCGATTGACACGTTCAGCTATGTGCAACACGTGGAATCGGAAGGAAGAGAACTAATTACATATCGTTTAAAAAGGTTTCCGATTTAACAAATTAATACTTTTCACGATAAAACGAATCGTAGATTCAAATAACGGTACCATAAAAAATTACTGGCGTTAAAATTAACATCTTGTTAACTGTTAGTCTGAATTATCTTGTTTACGTCGAGTCAAATGATACATTTATCTAAATTTCTGTTTCACGTTCCCAACTAATTAACTAATTAATCTCTTGTTAGAGCGAAACATAGAAATTAATTGTTTCTTTAGCGGGTGTTAAGCGCCGAGTGTCTAGTACCATTAACACCGATCAATGATCGATCGCTTAACGCACGAATTAATCAAGTAAAAAAAAAAAATATGGAAAACGTAAAGCGAAATTTGTGCGATACACTTAAGGACGTATAAACATTTACAGTCCAGTGATTAGCGCTTGAACCATTCTAACCTGGACGGTAAGAGTGATCGGTGCACCGCACTCGGTCTGACCATATCCCTCGACGACTATACAGCCGAGAGCGCATCTGGTGAAGGTGAGAACGTTGCCCGCTAATGGAGCAGATCCAACGACCATCAGCCTCAACCTGCCTCCTGTCGATTCCTTGATCTTCGCGAAGGCCAGCTTGTCCCACACGCTGTTGTTCCTGATGATCCCTTTCTTGATCTCTGCCTCCTTCGCCCGCATACCCAGGCTAAATACCAGCCTCTTCAAGCACGAACTCTGAAGTTCAGTTTGGACCTGCAAAATGCCGATTGGTGACTATGCCTGCTATATTTAACGTGGTTGATCGAGCGATCCAGCTTGGTGGTGGACTGTTTTCGCGAAGAACACTGGCAACCGGCGGGTGAACGAGTTACAATAGAGCTCCATTTATATACCCGAAAAGAAATTTTAGATGATGCTCGATCGACACGTTCTTAAAGTGAAACGAGATCTCTCGCTTTTCCATGTCGGAACAGTCGAGCATAGAAATCGTCTTTCTAGAGCTGTCAGCTCTGAAATTCGAGGAGTTTGCTCGAAACGTTAGAGATGGAGAATCGATCTTTTTGATGTTTCTGTACTAATGAGACAGACTTGTTTACCAGGGAGTTCAATTTCTGGCTTGTACGGTTGTTACGGTTTATTCCAAACCTACTTTCGAAATATTTATTTTTGAATCTTAACTGTGCGTGAGTGGACGATTTCCTTGAAGAAAAGCTGTTTACTGGCATCGATGAGTTACGTGATCGCGCGATGATACGCCTTCAGAATGCTCGTTTGGGTAGTTTGTCAGTTTTGTGTAATAGGAGATTTATGGAGTATGGGAGCTTTATATAGATTTTACATCTGTGTTTCCGTTCCATATGGTTGACGTATTAATTCGAATAATATTCTAATAAATAAATAAATAAAATTTGATTAATATAATATTGAATAATCAACGTATTTTCTATACAACTGTCATCGTCGTTCTTTGGAATCAGAGGAAAACATCGAGCCTATGCTAGTGGATAAAGCGCACTTTCAAGTGTTGCATTAATTTACGGCTCTAAGTAAAGTCATGCCATCTGGCTATTTTTGCGAATATATTCGCCCGTAGCACATTCAAGAACAGAATAGAGTTATGCGTTTTTGCACGGATTACGTGTTACGAACGTGTCGAAAGCAGTAATCTTTATACTAGATATTAAAATTATCTCGTTGAAAGATAAATAAGAAAATTGCGATGTCTTTATAAATTCTCGTTAATAGACTGTATCGCTATGTCAACTGTCAAGTCTGGTATTAATCGTAGCGGTAGCGGATTTTTGCCGAATCTAATATTCGAGAAATTTTGTGCTACATTTTATATCCATTCTTGCTCCAATTATTATTATTGTATTTCGATTTCATCGAATTTGTGAAACGAGAGAAAATATGTGTACATATTCATTCACATCGCGAATTTGATACGTAGATTTATTATGAAAGCATAAAATGCACGAATTCCATTCATTCGGGATATCAGGGTCACGGTAGAAGATGGAACTGCCTCTCCACCTGTTTCGTCGCGCTATCCCTGTCATCCTCGATCTGGTTCTGCCAGTACTGTCTCAAAATGTATTACGTAACATTGACCTTAATAAAATGCGACTTTATATTCTTACGTGTGCACTTCGTGTCGATGTACTATCGCGAAAATATTTTCGTTTTTAAAGCGCAAAAATCTTCCTAGAAAAATATATATGGAATTAAAATCTGTAATCGATTATTCTTGTGTTATCGAAACACTTTTAATTTCATTCGTAATAGCAACGAGATGAATAGGATCCTATCCGGCGTAATTTGTTTTCAAAAAGATTTGTAATGTTTGGAAGTGAACGAAGGTAATAAATCTTTGCTAACAATGTTTAAGTTTCCATAAATCAACGAATGCTAAACTTTAAAAAAATAAGCTTACCATTAAATAAGAATTATTTAAAATATTATCTGCTGATTCATACGTTTCTCATAAGTCTGTTGATCCTCGTAGACTTATACTCGATAGACCAAGAACCATACATTTACAACTAAAAGACCACTTTCTGTCAAAGAATATGTAAAGCGAAACTTGCTAATCCCGTTTGATTAATCGGAAGCTGAAGGGATATCCATAAATCGTCCAAGTAGTTGCAAACGGAATATAAATCGATGTATGTTTTAACAAAAAATTTTTCCTAGACCATCGATGATCTCGGATAGCTACGATACCAGTCGTCAAATATATATATATATATTCTAAATTTCCTAAAACGCAGCTTCTTTTCGCGAGGATTTAAGACACTCGTAAAACGAGTACATTTTCTCGCGACATGGAATACGTTAATCGTCCATCGATCTGAAAATAGACAAGGAAAGAGGGTTTATTATTTCGACCGTGAGCAGAGATACGTGTACGTAGAAGACATTCGCGCGAAACAAACACATCTGGATAATTTCGCTAATGCAACTGTCCATCAAACTCGAATGTAGCCGAGGCGACTCGTGATATTCGTCAAACTATTTTTAGCCACCGGTACAAGGGGAAATTCATTAAGCGTTTCACAAGATGACCGATCTTGTCTGCCGATAAATTGTCCGGGAATAAATTACTTAGCGCGTATTCTTGCACTCCGACACCTTCGTCAAGGGTAAAAATATCACTTCACTCGTAAATCGCTACTCGTTGGAGACGAACGAGTCACGAATTCCACGACTTCCGTGGGACGCGATTTCCTACGCCCTACGGGTTATCCGTCCTTGCATCTCGATGAGCACACTCTAAAATATCTTTTTCGATTCTCCGGTAACTTTGATCGCCAAGAATACCACTTGAACATTCGCCACTACCACCCAAATGGTAAACACGGAATAGAAATTTTCTAAACACATCCGCGTCAAGTATTTTGTTTAGATAATTATATTTGCAGCTAGCGGAACTTTTCGTTTAGTGCTATTTTCGACCAAGTGCGTGGAAAAGTGTTTTACGAACGTTTGGAAAAGAAATATCAGAAGGAAGGCACAAGGTTTCGTGGTAAGTAGTAATAAACATAAATTAATCTCTTCTTCGAACAGTTACACCTGTCTCAGGATATTTTAAGTTATAAGTTACTACATCGCTGTTTTATTTGCGTAATTGTTTTTACTTGTTTGATTTATGAATATAATTACGAAGGCGAAGCGCAAGTGCGCGTTTTTCACTAACGATCTGAATATTGGTTATTTCGAAAATCAACTTCCACTTCAACCACACCGGTAATTATCGTGCTGGTTTCGTGGCAAATTGCGCGAACAAAACTAGAAACAATGGATTCAGTGTATATTTACCAGCGTCAGGTGGTAGCAGAATAAGTTGGAAACGAACAGGTACGAGGTGATTGGGAAATGGGTAAATTTCGTAAGCGGTTGTGCTCACCTTGTCGTACATTCGATTCAACAGTCTCGGCACCGCTGGCATCACGGTAGGCCTCAAGGCTTTCATATCATCGGGCAACCTTTTGATGTCACCGCTGTAGAAGCCCACGGACGCGCCCACCATGTACATGCCGTTCTCGCAGCATCGTTCCAACATGTGCGCCAGGGGCAAAAAGCTGATCATCGTATCCTTGTACGAGGGCCTGTGCTCGCCTAATTGTATCAAAACCGCGCTTATACTCGCCATCACGTTCTGATGCGTCAACATCACGCCTTTCGGATTGCCCGTGGTCCCGGACGTATAGCATATGGTGCACAGATCCGTCGTCTTGGGCGGAACTTCCGGATGATTTTTTTGGGCACCGATACGTTCTACTTCCTCGAACTTGAACAACTCGACGCCGCGGTTCTTCGCCCTCTGGTTCGTCGCTTGTCTCGTCTCTTTTATCACCACCATTTTCCTTAGACATCTGAAATGAAAGACAGTTATCCGATCGGTCGAGTCCAGTCAGGGGATAAGCGAGATTCGGCTTTGTTCGTACGAACTTCTGCGATGTACTTTATATCGATCGTGAAAATCTAGTCTAGTTTATTACGTTAAATGGAAATTGCGGTAAAAAGTCACGTTGGTTTAGCGTGCCAAGATGTCTCAGGACATTGCACGGAAACGTTTAAATTTGTTTGCGATACCACGCGAGATTTGTAAATCGTGTCGCGCGTCGATGCTGTAAAAAATGCGTTTATATCGATTCGTGGCATACTGCCACTGCAACAACCCAACTATCACGCTCTCGAGTGATCGGAATTGTAACTTGTATCACTGTCTGGTCGAAAACACGTTGAAACGTTCCGTCTTCGATTCTTTTAACGCAAGAGGCTTACGTTCGATAAAATTACGCTTCTCGAACAAATTCCGACAAAGGGCACGTACCTCGGCGCCTTGTCGAGCAGCAAATTGCACTTGCTGTCGTTCTCGCAGACGACTAAATTGATCTCAGCCTGGTTAATGATAAAGGCACAGGCATCAGGGCCCAGTGTGTCGTACAAAGGCACTACTGCCAACGAGTACGTGTAGCAAGCCTGCTCGGCGAGGATCCATTCCGGACAGTTCTGACTGTAGAGACCCACGAGTGCGTGCGATCCTGGCATCAGCCCCAAAGACACTAAGCCAGAACCGAAATTCTTCGCCCTGAGCAGGGTCTCGTTGTAATGTAGCCACTGGTACGGTTTGTTTGGTCCATCCCGCCAGCCAAGACAGGGTCCGTTGTCTGTGTGTCAAGAAGACCAGCTAACGAATAATAACCACGTACGTCCGGAAGAGGTCGCGCGTATTTACGAAAATGAGAATTTGTCAAGTCACGCGTCTATCGAAATCGTAGTCCCGTGTGACGGAATAGACGCGAAAACGAGACCATTCGCGTGTTAACGATTCGCAAACCAAGCTGGGTTGAGTTCAAACTTACTGGACTCCTTGGCGCCTTTGCGGAAACCATCGTACAGAGTCCTTGTATCCTCGTACAAGAAGCTCACGAACTTTCCCTCCTTGCTGTCCTTATAAAACCTCGACACTTTGATCAGGTCAGTACCCTGCAAAACACACACGTTTGCGCACGTGAAATCCGACGTATGTTTTTCATCGTTATATAACGGAATGCCAAGTGCAAATCTAAGAATATCGGATACGTCGTGCGACGGGGATATTGCATGGCACGTAGACGCAATGGGGTGGTACGTCCAAGTATCGACCCGCCCTCGAGATCACGAAACCCCTACGATGGAAAGCGACCGTCGCTCGAGCTTCGTTTTCCTGCTTTTCCTTCCACCATTCTTCTACCGCCTTTGCGACGATTCGACGTCGCCAAGTCGCTTGTGCAACAAGTCTGCCCACCTACACACGCGCGTGCTTCGACATCGGACAGGCTGGCCCGTGGATTTCATCAGAACCTTCTATGGCCTAATGCGTATCGGCCATTTGTTGCGGGGATAAACCAGGAGAAATGGTTTTGTATCGCGGTTATCTGTTCACGATTTTCTAAGATCTAACTTAGCATGCCGTCAGGTGGTCCCGAAGATGGTGAAGAACGAAAGTTAATGGGACGGTTTGAACAGGGAACCGATCGAATCGGAGAACTAAGAAAACACTCCACCTTGACTGTGTCGGACTGATCGCTGATGTCGATCGGTGGTCGAAGAGGCGGAGGGGAGAAACAACTGGACGTCATAATCTCGAGACGATCGATGAACGCTGCACAGAGAAAGCGCGCTGCACGAGCGGCCACGGGCCGACGTCCTGCTCCTTTTCAGCTGAAGATCTTGCCCGGGATACGCACGGTCACTTGAAACGAGACGAGGGCCCGTACAGGCCACGGGATCGACACCACCTCTTCAATGTCGGAGCTCACCTCTCAATCACTTTGCTTGTCAGAAGTGCTACTGCTGCTGCTGCTCCACCGAGAGGAGCGGCTGCTATCAGTAGCTCGCACATAAGACTAGCTGCTCATCTCTCTACGACGATCTTCGACTATATTTAAATATAGTGGACCGCTGGTGGAGCGAGCGTCGTCCTCAACAGCCACCGAACTTGTTGGATGATCGCCAGCGAAAAAATCGATCAACCCATCGGACTTTAACGTCGAACGAGCTGGCTGAAAGCGCTCGTTAAAGATTCTTCCGTGAACGACGACAGCCGCTTTTTCAACCACCACTGATTAATGTAAGCGTTCCAGTCGATGCAAGCGATTTAAGAAGAGTCAATATCGATCAAACGTTAGACGTTAAGTGTGGCTTGATCTTCCTGCATCTGCGTTTTCCGACGAGTCGCTTTCGTTGATGCTTGCGGCGCTCTGCAGTGGCTAAGATTGATTTACGACGAACCGAATTGAATTACGATTTATAGAGACTAAATATAACGATCGAAAATCGATCGAATTTTTATCAAAGGTGTATCAAAGGTAACATACTACTTCAAATATTATTGATCGCCCGAGAGCACCCTGAAAGATCGGGATGGGACGTACAGACGTTCTTGGAGATGATGTTGGTGATTTCCAAGTGTTTGCTTTTAAAAATAAATTTAACAGTTATAAATTAGACAGTTATTATGACGACGATACGATGATAACATTATGCCATCCTTCCACGCTGTGGATCTATTGCCTAAGCTATCTTTCCGAGGCCTATCGCTTCAATCGATACGTACTTTGAAATCTTTCCAAAATCAACGTTGAATATAGAGAGGAATATAAGGTATCTTGTTTCTCACAACAATGATCTTAGTATAAATATAGTTAGTTTGAATTTCCTAATTAATCAAAAAATCCCATTGTGAAAATTAACTCAAGGAACATGTCATATAATTGATGTTTGGACCGACTTGCACACCGCTATGATTCATAGCGCACCATCGAACTCTCGGACTAGCCTGGAGGTCGAGTGGCAGTCTGTCGATGATAAGGACATTCCAGCAGCAATTTCGAATCCCTCCTTCCCATTGGCAGTTATTTAAAAGCCGTCCTTCAACCTCACCCACCGGCCAAGGATTCGTTGGCAGTTGGATGCCAAATCCGATCGACTTCGGTTCGAAATCATCCGATTTTTCACTCTTTCGCGTCGATTTAAAATCCCTGAAACCCATCACCAAACCCTCCAGTGCTCTTCGTCATGAACCCTTCTCAATATATCTTCTTACTCTTCGTTGGAACTTTCTGTGTCTATGGATTGTGGAAAACCAGTTCTCTTTCCTGGCGAACCTCCACGGTACACGCGAAAGCGTCGATTCAGTTCGACCTCTCCATTCCATCGTCTTCTCCATCCGTTTTCCGTCGATTCTCTAACAAAACAAACAGAAAAACCATCGGCAAAAGTCATAAAAAGTATCGTGGAGTCGTATCCAAATACATGCTAGAGCTGTACCACCGCAGATCAGACGTGGACATAGTTCGAGCGTTAGAACCGATCCATGTGTCAGGTCCGACCAACGAAGGAGCCAGGATTCTGGTATTCTCGATACCTCCGATCGATCCAGACGAAGCTCTAGAGGTAGCAGAATTGCTCGGCGTTGTTGGATCCATTCTCAGAGTGCGTTTAGATCATACGGACGCTTTTGGAAGCTGCAAATCGAGGAGGGACGATAGTTGGAGGGCTTTCAATGTTACTTCTGCAGTGGCTGCAAGGAGTGGTAGTGCCGTCAGATTCCGAGTATACGGTAGAGTCGGTTATCATCCTTGCGGAGACGGCCCAATCTTGTTATTGAGCTACGCCAAAGTGAGGAAGAGGCGCTTAAGGCGTTCCATTCAAGAAGAAGAGACGGACGAAGACGACGGTCCCCGAAGAAGACGTAAGAATTCCTGCAGACGACGATCTCTTTACGTAGACTTTGCACTGATCGCGTACGACGAATGGGTCGTTGCTCCACCCGGGTACGAAGCCTATCAGTGCTCTGGGAAGTGCTTTTACCCGTTCGGCGATCATCTTAGCCCCACGAAGCATGCGATCGTGCAGACGTTGGTACACGGTGCTCTCCAGGCTATCGAGGGCGGCAGCAAACCTGTTGGCAGAGCTTGCTGCGTACCGACGAGACTAGCGCCTACCAGTCTGCTTTATCTGGATGCCAGTGGAACTTTAACTTATCAGTACGGCTACGAAGACATGGTTGTTGCCGAGTGTGGCTGTCGTTAAAGTGTTCAAAATATAGGTTTAAAATTAGGCAATTGAGTAAGGAGAAAATGAATTTTTATGAAAATTAAGATAGGTTCTTAAAGATCGAAAGAAAAGACATTTTTTAATCCTTATATTTCAATCAATTTATTCCAACGATTTACTTTGCGTTTCTTTATGCAAGATCAGCTTTTATACCTCTTATCTCATATTCCGACAAATAAATTAAAATTTCTCCATTTAATTTAGAAAATGTATAAACTTTCCGATTTCCATTTCTCTTCAATACATTCTATAAATTCCAGATCTGCCTTCTTCCAGCTCTTCCTATATATATCATAAAATATAATATCTTTCAACATATAATATTCTCTGAACTAGCAATATCTGAATAAAAATATTCCTTGTATAAAACATGCATTACATTAAGTTTCATAAATTATAAATTCATCAAAAAATAAGTAACTCGATATACTTTTAGCTCTCTACAATGTATTAGATATTTCTTTGCTTGTTAATATCGATTTTAAAGTAATATTTTGTGTACTACTCATAGATATTTTGAATAAAATTGATGAGAATCGTTATAGCTTCTACGCTTAGCGTATCATTTAAATATGCAAAGCACGTATGCAAAAGGCTATGAAATAATTCAATTATTGAGGGTCACCCACTATAAAAAATCGAATCAAAATGAGTTGCAAAACAAATAGCGTTGATAGAAGTGGAACGAGTTCGAGCAATTTTCATCGGAATAAAATTTCTTTTTCCCCGTAAATCGTAAATGTACCGAGTACATAAATTATATAAATTATAACAAAATAGAAAAAATGTAATTACAAAATACAAAATTACAACAAAAATATACCTATACAGTTCCTTTTCGTGCAGCACGCGCGATTCCCTTTCCTCGACGCATTGCACGATACACGATTGGAAGAAGAAGAATGTAACATCTTCGATAAAAACTGTCTTCGTAAATTCTATAAAGTTCTATGTCAAACTCGAACAGTCTTTATCGATTAACTGAACACCATCGAGCACATCTCGTTATTCTTTCTGTTCAACAGATAAGACCTCCCAGGATTATGCAACCTCATCCTCCTGGTTTTTCTCAATTTGTGCCTACTTCCAGCTACCCTTTCAACCTTATATACCTGATACTTCACCACGTTCTCTGGTTGGCTAAGTCTCATGCACAGAGATACCGGCCCGGAAAAGTCTACGTCGGTGGCCAACTCCAATTTCGGTTCCATCGACATGGAGAACTCAGCCATGCTCTGCACAAAGTCGGAACGCACTTTCGTTCCTCCCTGGATCATAATTCCAGCCTTCAGATCCACCAGTGACTGAGCGTTTCTGGACCATAGGCTCAGTTGAATTTGTCCAGCTAAATCGAAGCTAACCGCACCTTGGACGTCGACTTCGGCTACGATTCCCGAGGCCAATGGAATGTATTCGTTGTAGTTATGGAGAGCAGCTAAGGCCTGGAAAGCTGGAGTTCGTTCGGACGCTGATCCAGACCAGACGTGACTCATAAGTTCCCCTTGGCCAGAGAAGAAGACGAATGGCCTGATACCAACACCTAGGAAATCGAGCTCCATTCCTGCAGTAGACGGTTCGACATCCTGAATGTCATTTTCCTGGCTGGAAGTCGAAACGAAGCTTCCTAGGCCTCCCGCGAACAGGCCAAGAGAGAATAGCGCCTCTTCGTGGTCTTCAACTTGAAGAACTACGTCGACTATTCCACGCTTCATTAAACCTGACTGAATCTCTTGAATAGTTATCAATGATCCATTACTATCTATTGACCTTAGAAAGTTTCTCGTGAACGCTGTGCTAAGACCTTTCTGGGAATACACATTGTAATTAACGATATCCTTTCCACACGTACCCAAAACTTCGCTCAGATCTTTAGCAAATCGAAGATCCTTATCAGAGAGTTGTTCCAATCGTTGACTGAGATACTTCCGAACCTCGTAATCGAGATCTGTGTTTGCTAAATACTCCACCAAGTGTCTCATATCTTCCTTCGATGGATTCGTTTCGAGAATAATATCCAAGGCTATAGTTCTAGAACTACTGTCTCTCTTTGGCCCACCTATTTCGTAAAAGACTCGTTTGGCTACCTTTTTTACTTCAGGAGTCAGCGAATCTCTGGGTAGCGCTGACAGAGCCTTCCAAGCAGCGACATTGAGTGCTTTATTCTCACTCGTTGCAAATTTTAACAAGGTCGGGATCGCAGCCTTGGTTCTTAAATTTCTTAGAGCCCTGAGGAACTTCAGCTTGCACTCTTCCCCCGTGCAAGTATCGAGACCGATTTCCAAACTGATTCTTGCTTTCTCGATGCTAGCTGGACACTCTAAATGACGTGCCATCGCTGCTGCGGTTAAAGCTATCGTTTCTGACACTTTGTCGTTCGGATGGGTCTCTTCCGATCGTCTCAGAATATTTTTAGCGATATCTGCATTCGGCGTTGGAGACAGAGACAGGGCCCAAAGATATCTTTCAGTCTCGTTTCCTATTTCGTCTTGTCGAAGAATTTTCATGGCTGCTTGATGTCCTGCTATGGTCGAGGCGGCGCCAAAGATATCTAATAGTTGAGGTTTTATTTGACGATATCGTGGACTTTTTAGGAGCTTCTGCAGTTCATCTGGAGAGGCTGATCTGACTAGAGGTAGTAACTTCAGGAACGCCGAAGCAGATTTTCCAGTACCCAATGCGTTGTTCTCCAGGGCGCTGCGGTACTCTTCGACCGTTTGTTCGATCTAAAATCAAATATTACAAAAATACGATTAAATATTTATTTATAGTCGATTATTTCCCATAATTTTGATATCGCAAATCTGTTTGTACAATTTTTAATCTATTAGATATATTAATTTACTAGTAGAATAATGAAATGGATGACTTTATGAGAAGATGTTATGCAGTAACGTGTCTTTCATTTCCTGCCTTATTCATTTATCATTGGTTACTCATAAGTAAACAAAGAACAGGAAACACTCGACAAATAAACTTGTTGATTTAAACGAAGATAATTTTAAGTATCCCAGCTTACCGGCACGCTGTTGATTTTGGCGAGAAATCAGTTTCCATAACAACATAAGATGTTTATGGGATGCCGAGGAAGGTTAACAAATTGCATGTATTAAATTAGAATAGATTAATGGGAAAATGTAGGTTCTAAAAGAAAACAAGGAAAAAGAATTTTATGAACTAACCGTGGGGCATCCGTAGTCAGGGCACGAGGACGGTTCCAATTGTAGCTCGATACTCGTTTCTCTGTATCCAGGTTGCGCGGCAGCGAGAGCTTGATTCAAGGTATCAGCCTGCACGGTTTTAGCGCTGAGCGTGCCAGGAAGCAGCTCGAGTGTCCTCTCCGACGTGACGATGGCGCCCACTTCCGGTCTGGCGGTAAGTGCCATTCGATGACTCTCCTCATCACGAATCAAGCTAGGCAAAAGCTGCTCCGTGAGTTCGTAGGTTGAATTACGAGTACTCGTAAGCTTCACGCCGAACAATGGATTCGAATGCCGTTTCTTTGGTGGTAGAATATTTTGCTTGCAGGATATTTTTCGTTTTCCCATTGTCCTCGGTCCCAAAGAATGGTACGTTACTTTACAGAGACCGGAAGCATCTCGTTCCTCGACGTCGCTATCGAACACTGTATATTGGAATAAACTGGCTAAGCCACGTTTGAGGTTTGCCGAAGAGACGCTCTCTGCAGTATCCATGAAGATGGAATTTACGTCGCCGTTTCTCCAAAATATTAGCAAAGGTTTCTGTGCAAGGGCGTTTATTCTGGAGGAGTGTTCGACGAATCCTTCTAGTTCTGGAGCACTTCGAGATTTGATCCACAGTTGTGGTTGCAGGAGCTATGAAAAATACAAGAATTTGTTTTTATCCATGACGATTACTGTGAAAATGTGTAGTAGAAATGAAACGATAGTGAAATGATAACAACCGATCTAATTAAATCAATTCCCCAAATATTTTGTGCAGTAACCTTCGTGAGTCATCAGGAAGCGTATACAGGCTAGTCATGTAGTTATTATTCAATGTTTTCCTGCCAAGTCCTAAATGGTAAGTATACGAAAAAGGTGAAAAAGGAAGAAGTTTTATAAGAGCAAGAGACACAAGGACAGCCCTGACATATGGCGGTCACCTCGATCAAAGCCTTGGCAGTGATCAAGGGAATACTCGGAAGATAATATATAATTGCTTAGGAAAACAAATTAACGTTTTCGCTAAAAGTTTAAACGTAAGGCCGTTAACTTATTCATCGAGACGACTGTATATATTATACATTCACGGTATCTGGTAAAACGTGCTGTACTTTAATCTTTTAAGAAAAGGTTATCATAGCTTAATATTGCTAATACGAACTCCCCACTTATCGTTCGTTGCTCGATAAAAATTCTATTTGAAACTGAGATTTTCCTTTGCATGCAGTAACTGTCTCGTTAAATTCAATAGAACTCGGCAATTATAGACTGAACACTGTGCTATTGATAAAACACAAATATGTATAAAAAATGATAATATCAGATATTTTACATCTTGAATAAGAACTTTCATGCTTGCTATCGATGGCACGCGAATAAAGAAAGAAATTTAATACAAACATATCTCCAAAGAGGGAACAGCAAAGATAAGAACTGGAATCTGTATACATCGAGTTAGAAATAATCCGTATTTTACCAAAACTTCACGAAATTAGGTATACGGTAAGGAATTCACCGACTCTCCTGCCATTTCTCTCATTAAAGTGACAGCAATTCATTATTCAAGAGTAGAAGAAATCCACTTAACAGAAATTCATTTAATCGAACACTAGCCAAAATTTCGTTTCAATAAACGAAGTTGTATAAAACAGTAACGATTCCCACCTCGATTTTCAGCAAAAAGCTACTCGGATCATCCGGTTTCTGCCAAACGGCGGTTACATCCAATTCGCCGGTTAATCGAAAGCCAACGTCCCCGCTGGATTTCGACGGAGCTGCCTCGCTAAACAGCAATGTTGTCGTCAGTTTATATTTCAATCCGCTTGCCAGGTCCCAGCCTCTAGTAGCACCAGCCATGGCTACAAAAATCACGCACACTTTCCAATACATGATCGATAAAGTAACAGAAACAACGTGGATCTATCGTTCCGCCCTGTCCTACGAGAAAACCCGGCGAAGAATCGATCGAGGATCGACGCGACAATTTCGATATGTGATCTGGCAAAGTTACCCGTCGACTGACAAACATTGTTACTCCATGGACTCTGTAATGGCTCGTCTATAAGCCAATGAGAATGGGACACACTGAATAGCGGTTGTCTGTGTGTAAGTGCGACGTTGATCGTCGGCTGACGTTTGCGTGTGGTTAGATACGTGAGTGTAGAATGTTTGGCGCGATTACGAAGTTATGAAACGTATATTTTTCTTTTTTCCTTTTTGTTTACTAATATCGTGGAGTGATAGAGCTGCAAAGAACAAAAGGAAGAATCAGTGATTATTTTAATTCGAGTTTGTACTCGTTAGTAAGTGTATGAGCTGTTTTTATATGAAACTTTAGAATAAAATAACTTGTAGATAGCTACCTTTTTTCACTTAGTACGTAAATGTAATTATGCCGATCGGTGCGATAATTGCATTTGAAAATTAACTTGCCAATCTGCTTCCAAATCGTCAATTCGTAATTAGTCATTCTACCGTGTTTTAATACACTACTTTCCATGTCGTTAATTTGATGTAAGAAAATAATATTTTCATAAACAGATAAGATCTATAATTCTAATTACATGTTTGTGGAAACACTTAATATGTATCAGCGTTGGCACTTAAGGATCTATAAGTGCAGCGTATGGTTACACGAAGATAAATATGTTCACACGAGTGTGCATACAAGGTGGCTCAAAAATATGACGAAAATAGAGAAAAAAGGTAAAATCAGAAATCTAAGAATTTAAAATACAACCAGCATCAGCACAGTTAAACGATACATATGAGTTTTCGCATTCGTAAATCCAATTTAAAAATAACAAAGTCATACGACTTTCTTTAAAATATTATCGTTATGATATTTCTCGAAATAGATATAACACTGGTATAAACGTACAATAAACAAATTTAATACTCAACCTAATCCCTTGAAATTCACTTCGGCAATAATTAAATTAATCAATTTGCTTGTCACACGCTGACATACCTTCACAAATATTGCCTTTATAGTTTCTTATTGCAAATGCAGAAATAAACGTTTTTCTCGAGAGATAGTTCTTCGCGTGATTTTATAAACATTTATATAATAAAGTTAAGAAATAAAGTAATGAAATAAAAGGAGATATTTCATTATGATATATTTTCTCAAAATTAAATAAACTTTTAATGGATTCATATTTTACATAACACAAATCCCTATTTTTGAGTCGCCCAGTATACAAACGTACGCATATCTACGCACACAAAATCGTCACAGTCTGGATCGCTCTTCTAAAAGCGGCGAAGCCCTCAGTGTGCTCTATACGAGATGCATGCATATATAGGCACAGGCTTTACTTGTGTACACGAATGTATAATCGCATATCACCAATATACTCCAACGATAAACACCGTTAATTCACCAAGTCCCTGCTACACGACAAGGAAACGGAAATAGTTACTCCGTTCTCGTAATTAATGAAAGGATGAATTGCGGCTATTTTTTGGATCGAGCTATTTTTTGTAATCGAAAATGAAAAGGAAGTTAAACAAAAATAGCCATAACCAAAGTATATTAATAACAATTAAAAATGAACAAAATTGAATTTCGAATTTGGTGCTTGATTTCGTTTGAATCTTCTGTTTCGAGTAAAATTACCAACGCTAAAAGGAATAAAATCCAATCGTGAATTCCTAACCACTGTTAGGTTATCTCAGATCAGTTATCCCGCCAAACAGGCTCAAATTTATTTTTAGTTTATAGATCCGCATATGTACAACGTTTTCAATTATTTTATATTTTACTAACGAATTTAGCTGAATTGCTGAAAGTAAATCATGCAGAGAAAAATCACATTTATTATTTATTTTCCTTTAGTTTTTTTATATTAAAGTATGTCAAATATAAAACAAAGAGATGTTAATTTACCTGGGGCCATTTGACAGTAGGAACCTGAAATACAAAAAAACTTCTATCAGAGACGATCTTCGTAGCACTTTAAAGTAATTAAAGAATTATTTTTTGTTCTTAAGTCCTAAAGTTATGTTGTCGATTACTATAATTGTCCTATGCCCCGAGTTAGAAAATAATTTTGTAGCCTTGATTAACCAAACCGGTACAAAGTGAAATACCAAAAAAGTACTGAATGTATAGATACATTGAACAAAGAAACAAACACTGCGTAGATAATTTCATAAGATTCGTCGGATTTCATTTAAACACAAGACGAAACTTTATTCTTTGTTCGATGCAACGGTTAAACATTATAGCAGTTAACACGTATTAAACGTTTTTGCACTTCTAATTTACTTAATTTAACTGTTTTTAATCTAGCTACTTATCGATAGAACCAATCGAGGAAAAGTGGTTAAATAAAAATCTATATCATAAACATATCCTATATATAATACGATGCGGTTCACAAGTTATCGAATTTTTTCTAACTTACACAAGGATAGTTATAACATCAAAGATGTAAAGAAAATTGGACGTTCTTATTGTGCTTATAAATACAGTTGTTTAAACAGTCACTCGAATAATTTTAATCAACGTCAAGCACTTCTATGAATAGTTGCCTGGATAGTTGGTCGAAACATTGAAAAATGACAAATAATATAGCAAAGGGATTTAAAAATTAACGAGGATGGATGACGTCGCGCGGGAAAGTACGTAAGATCGAAACGTGAAAGCAGGCGGGCCAACTTGTAAGTTGGTAACTCACCGAAAAGCGTCAGAAGATAAACGAGGGAGACTGTAAGCGTCGTGACCGGCGTTTCCGAGCAGGCCATCCTTCGTTTCTCACAGACGACCTTCCTCGTGCCTACTGCCCCGAGCTCGTGTTCTATGCTGCTCCGTACGACTCTTCTCCTTCTACCAGTAAATACGAGCAGATACAAGTAAAAGTAATTAGACAAGGCAGGCTTGCGTTATCGAACCCCACGACCATCTCTAACATTCCCCACCGCACCACGCGGAACTATTCCCCTTCCATTGCTCGCGATATCACGAGGATAATGTATCAATCCCCTCCATTGGACCTGCTTTTGCGGTGGAAGAAGAATAAATGGAACGTGGGGATATTTGGTGATCTGATTTCAGGCGCGGTGCATTTGAAAACGAGACGTCTTGTTCTTATTTGTATGTAGGAATTGACTATTATGCGTTCCATGAAGTAAGAGGAATTAAGATAACTTTAAAGAGTAATTGTTGCTAGGCAGTGCATAACAACGATAATTTATATGAAACGTAGTACACATCATGTATCGTCTACTTGGATAAATTCTTTGTAATAAATGGTATTTCACAGTGAAATTTACAAATAGAAAATGTAGAAAATGATCTTTGAAAAAAATATTACTCTATCTGAAAATATAATTTCATGAAACGGCAAAGGAAACAACCGCGACAATAAATTAAAATAAAAAGTACTGGTTTGCTTTGGTCTATACAAAATATTTTATTCATTTAATTAAGTACATATATCCATATTAGGAAGAAAGGACAGTATTAATAAAATATAGAACTAAATAAATGAAGTAAGATATTTGAAAAAAAAATGTACAAGATGAGATTATATATTCAGTTTCAGGTAGATCAACTTTTAAATTATGTTTAAATTCAGAAGCGAAAATCGATTTTGATTATTATAATAATTCAATAATAACATATAAATTCATGTGTTTACATGACAAGATAAGCTTTATTCTTCGTTTTATTCTCCTGAAGCTGTTACACTCTCACAATAAAATTCGCCAAATCGACATGAATAGAAAAAATAACATATTCTGTTACATTTTGATAATTACTTATGGACAAAATGACCTTGGTGGATGAAAGGTTTTGTTCAACAACTAAAAACTGTGCTAGTGATACATTCTTAAACCTAATGTGACATTAGCTCCTCCAACCCAACTGTACGTAAAGAAATCTTATACGGCGTGGTGATTAACAGGATAGATGTCTTTCCATAGATGACAAAGTCAACGACTTGCGTGCTATCCCTTGTAATCTGTGATCATAAATCATACGCATGATTCTGACAAAAAGAAACTTTATTAATATAAATATTATTATACAACACGCACAAATTTTCTAACTTCCCCTGGTTGTCCCTTTATAAACAAATATGTTGCTCAATGAAATCCTATTTAATCTAATAAGAATATATAGTACATTGACATTACATATTAATATAGTATAAAGTATATATTAAAGTTAAAAACGAAGACGTCAAATGCTTAAAAATGTAGTTTCAATGAAAACAATCCATATAAACACTTGAGGATTTTCGTAGATAAAAAGTGTAACAAGTGAAAGTTTCATTAAACCGACTAAAAATTATAAAAACTTTATATTTGTACATCAGTCATACAAACTATGATATTTTGTTTCCAGATCCCCTAATACGTTCTGGAGCTGAAATTAAATTGTGTACGTATACATATAAATGAAATATCTAAGTATAATCTCTGATTAAGAAAAATTAAAATAAAATAATTACTTTTCTTTTGCATTTCCAAAGAAATAGAATCTTCTATTGGAATGTATTTGTTGAAATGTATTTTACACCTCTGAACGCTTTCTGCACTATGTTCTTTTCCTGCAATGAAACATACTTATTCAAATATTGCATTTAGAACAAATAAAATACTAGTTTAATGGGAATTATCAGTACCAGAAAATTTGACGTTTTTAATAGATCTTTCCTTGTCGTTATTAGTTTCATCTATATTCATTTTTTCACTATTGTCAATGTTAATTTTAAAAGAACTTGTTCTTCTTTTCTTCTCTACAGGTGATTCATTTTCTTTATGTCCCAGTTCTTCTATATCCATAGACATTTTGCTAAAAGATCTCTTAGCTATAGGTGTATCCATTGAAATAATAGTTCTATTTCTTAAAATTCTTATATTTTCATCACTATGGCTGATTTCTTTTTTGTCATTTATAGGAATATCTTTCTGTTTTAGTGTATTTACAGTTTCAACATCTTTATTTTCATTAATTGGTGTGAAAATATTTCTATTGAATGGTGGAGTTTGATTTGGTATCGCATTTTTATCTACAAAATTTTGTTCCCTCGTGCTTCTTTCTTGTAGTGTACCCAGACTTTTATTCAATTCTTGGAATGCTATTGCCATTTGTGTTCGTGGAGACGTTATTTTATTATTTTCTGAATTTTCTTTGATATCATCTTTATGTACATCAGATCTAACATCATCTAAAAAAAGTTTTCTTTGTGCTCTAAAAGCTGTTTCTTCATTAGAGCTATCAAGATCAAAATTATCTATTCTTGACAATGCTGCAGCTAAATTTAATTTTACCTCTGTTTCTTCGTCAATTGGTACTTCATTTAAAACTATATGATCAGCAAAGTTAACTTTATTTGTTAATTTCGTGAGACATCCCTTTTTGGCTGAATTCTTTGGCCGTTTTAATATGCTCTTTCGTGGTGTTTGATTAGAATTAATATAAGATACTGAATCGTCTAACTGAACTTCTGGTGTTTTACATATTTCACTCAGATTTATTATTTTTGAACAAGGCTTTTGTTTCGACAATGTTTCAGATAATTGTACTTGTTGCAGTAAACTTAATCTTTTAGCGCACATTACAGGTGAAAGTTTTTTTTCATTAAAACTACTAAATATAGCCTTTATTTTGTGTTTTATCCCAAAACTTATATTCTTTTCATATTTATCACCCAACGTTTGATATAAATTAGATTCAAGTTTACTTTTACCACCACTGTTTCTAATTTGTGGTGTCATCTTCCGTTTTCTTTTTATTAAGATAGCTTTAATAGAATTTAATGTGTTTTTAGTAACTGATCTGTTAACAAACACGTCTTCTTTCCTGCCCTGTGAGCAAAGATCCCCCAATTTTTCAAATTGTAAATCACAGTTTTTTATATCCATGTACATCATATCCCAAAATCCTTGCAAATCTTTACATGTAACTAACATTTCTCCTTTCCCTGTTTCGCAATTAGTAACCAATTGACGAAATCTATCAAACTTTTTATTTATTAACAAATATGTCTGTTCAATAACTCGATTTATTTCCAGTCGATCAATTTCTGTAATTTTAGCTTCTATCGCAATTTTCATCCACTTTTCACATAATTCGGTTAATCTATCCGTCTCTTTATTCAAAAGAAAATGAAAATATTGTGCGGTACGTTCTTCTTCTTCAACTGAAACATTTAAATTTTTCATGATAGTGTCTTTGGTAGGAATATCATCATCGCTTGGTGAACGACGAAGACTAAAACCCCGTTTTAGCTGCTGTTCTTTTCTAGCATTGGATTTTCCACGACTAGAAACTACATAAGGAGAATATATAATCGGTATAGATGGAAAATTTGACTGTTCTGACGTAGATACATTATTATTTGAAGACAAACTTGCTTCTTTAGCAATAGCATTAAGTATTTCGCTCATACTAGCCATTATTTTACTTTCATTACTATTATTTTTAAAAAATTGAGATATTTATAGATGAAGTACGTTTGACTAAGAAGTACATATAAATATTAAAATACATTCATGTAATTTCTACATCCGTTGCTTGTACGGGACATAACACAATCAACACAGTCGAACGAAACCATTAAACTATAATAATATGGAACTATCATAGATTCACGTACAGTTTGTAACTAAAGCATTGCCCGAAGCACTGAGGCACGGTCGTATAAACATAACAGTAATACACAATCACAATAGCCCTGGAACATTGGAAACTGCAATGGAGGGGCTAAGATTCTCAATAGTTTGATATTCTGTGGTGTGTTTTACAAATTGGCTGCTAGATGGCGCTGAGATAAATTTGTTAAACTTGCGCATTGAACATCATTTTCACTATCCTTACCACCGAAGATAAAGGGTATAAACTAAACTACTTTAAATAAATGATAATAAATTTACATAATAGAGTAGAGTTCAGTTACAGATACGTTCATGTGTCGTAGATTACAAACATATGGCGTACTACATCACAAAGTCTAACTAGTCGATTGGAGTGCCTTGGGAAATATCAAACTTCTTCTACACCGTTGGAAGAGTCAACTATTTCTTCTACATCGCTAGAAGATTATCCCAAAACTTATATTCTTTTCATATTTATCACCCAACGTTTGATATAAATTAGATTCAAGTTTACTTTTACCACCACTGTTTCTAATTTGTGGTGTCATCTTCCGTTTTCTTTTTATTAAGATAGCTTTAATAGAATTTAATGTGTTTTTAGTAACTGATCTGTTAACAAACACGTCTTCTTTCCTGCCCTGTGAGCAAAGATCCCCCAATTTTTCAAATTGTAAATCACAGTTTTTTATATCCATGTACATCATATCCCAAAATCCTTGCAAATCTTTACATGTAACTAACATTTCTCCTTTCCCTGTTTCGCAATTAGTAACCAATTGACGAAATCTATCAAACTTTTTATTTATTAACAAATATGTCTGTTCAATAACTCGATTTATTTCCAGTCGATCAATTTCTGTAATTTTAGCTTCTATCGCAATTTTCATCCACTTTTCACATAATTCGGTTAATCTATCCGTCTCTTTATTCAAAAGAAAATGAAAATATTGTGCGGTACGTTCTTCTTCTTCAACTGAAACATTTAAATTTTTCATGATAGTGTCTTTGGTAGGAATATCATCATCGCTTGGTGAACGACGAAGACTAAAACCCCGTTTTAGCTGCTGTTCTTTTCTAGCATTGGATTTTCCACGACTAGAAACTACATAAGGAGAATATATAATCGGTATAGATGGAAAATTTGACTGTTCTGACGTAGATACATTATTATTTGAAGACAAACTTGCTTCTTTAGCAATAGCATTAAGTATTTCGCTCATACTAGCCATTATTTTACTTTCATTACTATTATTTTTAAAAAATTGAGATATTTATAGATGAAGTACGTTTGACTAAGAAGTACATATAAATATTAAAATACATTCATGTAATTTCTACATCCGTTGCTTGTACGGGACATAACACAATCAACACAGTCGAACGAAACCATTAAACTATAATAATATGGAACTATCATAGATTCACGTACAGTTTGTAACTAAAGCATTGCCCGAAGCACTGAGGCACGGTCGTATAAACATAACAGTAATACACAATCACAATAGCCCTGGAACATTGGAAACTGCAATGGAGGGGCTAAGATTCTCAATAGTTTGATATTCTGTGGTGTGTTTTACAAATTGGCTGCTAGATGGCGCTGAGATAAATTTGTTAAACTTGCGCATTGAACATCATTTTCACTATCCTTACCACCGAAGATAAAGGGTATAAACTAAACTACTTTAAATAAATGATAATAAATTTACATAATAGAGTAGAGTTCAGTTACAGATACGTTCATGTGTCGTAGATTACAAACATATGGCGTACTACATCACAAAGTCTAACTAGTCGATTGGAGTGCCTTGGGAAATATCAAACTTCTTCTACACCGTTGGAAGAGTCAACTATTTCTTCTACATCGCTAGAAGATTCACCAACTAAGTCCAAATCTAACGCCTAAGCACGAACACTCACTTCCTCTACTAAGTATCCTCTAGTGCTACGTCCACTAACATACGAAGTTCAAGTCTAAGAGCCTTGCTCTAGCGTGCATATCTATCTTACCTTCGGGCGACAAGTTGTCATCAAGGAATTATATCTACTCAACAGTGTAACTTAAGTGTTGGAAATAAAACCTTATAATTCTGTGAATCACAGTGTTATACTAACTCAACCACCCCTATTATCTTAACGGAAATCAGGGGATCGATCGACTCGCGGTGTCGATTGCTATAATCGTAACGGGAATTTACGACTCCCGTTGACGTCCCTCCTCGCGAGTTCGTCTCCCCGCGATTGGTCGAAAATACACTTTGTTTTTTTAATTCTTTAGTTCCTTAGTTTTTCAGCTCTTAATTCCTTTAGCTCTTAGTTTTGCTCTCAGCTTTTAGGTTCTTTAGATTTTAGTTCTTTGTTTTATTAGTTTCCAATTCTTGTTAGTCTTGTTAATCGACGTGTTTGTATTTGTCAATTTAATTAATAAGAGCGAAAACGTATTGCGAACGATTGTAACTCCGAGCATTCGAAATTTCAACGACTATTCTGTCAATATTCAATTAGAATACGAATAAACATTTTCTCTTGTGAAGAATATTTGTCTAATAATATAGCAGGATTAAGCGAACATTTATTTTCACCAACTTTAATCCTCTCCCGTGCCAGTACTCCTGCGCATAGCAGGTTAGCCGAAACGTGGAGTTTAATTTCAAATCGCATTAAATAACAGACAATATTACAATTTAATCTAAATTCAAAAATTAACGGCAACGCAACCAAAACGAGCCGGACAAAACGTAACAGTATACCACTACGGACAAGTATACAGTATCTTATTCTTACTCAATGATAATCAAGATGTCTAAGAATCGTTGGTGATTAAAGTCAACGATAGAACGATCGGTATTTCAGAACATGTGAAACGGTTGGTAAATGACAAACCCTGCTATCTCTAGTTAGCGCCACTCTAGAAAATGTCGAGCCATCACGGTTATGATTGAGCTACAGTAAGCAAAGAAACGTGTTCGATAGATAACTATTTAATCCACCAAGTTGTGTAAGCCTCCACCAGGATGCACTAACAAGGTCTTAAAAATTGCCAATCTAATCTTCAATATAACTTTAACGAAAGTTACACTAACTAGATCTTGAAAGTCTTCTTATTACTTGTAGCTATACCACTACATATAAGTACTGTTGAATATGGGATGTCTTGTTTTAGCTGTGACTTTTTATTTATGATTACAATTGTCGTACATATACGACATCCCTTTCTCGCATATAATTATTTGAAACGTATCAAAAGACTAAGGATCGCGGTATAACTACTGCTCATACTCGAGGCATTCTATTCTTACAAATAAATCAGCGGCGTTTTGCAAAGGTAAGCGCTTTTATTGGAACGAAGAACTTGTATTTTTGAAAAATACTTAATCGCGATAAGTTAGCTACAAATATTTAATTTTAGAATTTTATTGTTGAGCCGTTCCCAACTGTACTGCAATGTCGGGCCGACTCGTGACAGAGGAAGAGCAAGCCCTTCATCTCCGTCTAGTTTCAAAAATCAGGTTAATATTCTGACTCCCCAATGGGGAGTGTATCAGATATTAAGCTGATAAGAACAGATACTACACTTTGATCTTAGCCATAAGGCCGAGAAGCGATAAATAAATTAATTTCAGCAGCTTTTATAAATCAGACAGTGAGTAATTTCGCTTGCGAGAAGGATACTAGCAAGTATACTACCTCTAGCGGTTTGTGCGGAAACTATCTTTACCCCTCTACAAATGATAGAACGTGGTTACAGTTTGGCAGGGGCTAAGGTAGATTGTCACTGACAACTTTAGATACCTGAGCATTCGTACATATGTCGTGGGTATCAAAATCGTATTACTTTTTTCGCCCAATTCAACTAATTCGGTACCCCCCTCCCCACACACACACTTTTACGTTATATGAATGTTTCTATATACACTATATAAAGTGTTTCTGTATACACTATACGTTCAATGTACACAGAATATCGTACCTGTATTACCTATGATATAAATAAATCATCGAAATTCGCATGAAATATTTTTAGTTATTTTTGTAAATACATACAGAGGAATACATTTTTAAATTAAACTTTAATAATTGTTTCATTTATTTTTGCAGTAACTGTTACACCGAGCTGCGTTTCACGCTGATAGACGGTTATCGACTAGATCGAAATTTTCGAAAATATATATATACATGAATGGTTAATAAAATTAACGATTGGTCGTATAAGACAAGGGGTTGTGCATTACGGGATTAAATCAAACGAGATACCGAATAAGCGGAAGAATAGGATTCTGTTAAGACAACACGTGCGGAAAAACGAGCTGTAAAGAAAGCGAAGCAAGTTGAACGTAAAAGGAATACGCGAAACACGTGCAGCAACAAAAGCTGTGGCCGCATAAACTCTCGCAGAAATGGGAACCGGTCGGTTTGCAGGCCGCAACGAACGATCCGGCCGGCAGCAGTCGCGCTAAATAATCATAACTCAGAGAGACATTTGTAACGCCAGCTTCTCGCCCGTATTTATCGCTGTTGTTGGACGGTTTGTTGCAGCAATAACGGTAATGGGCCAGCTCGACCGGCCGCCCAACCCCTCGAAACCGCCCCGACGACCCTCGAATCCGCCGCCAACGCCGGCTACCCCTCGCCGAGAGCGATTTATCCTCGGGTAATTAGCGCAGGTAATAATTAATGCCGCCGCGCATTGTGCTAATTATCACCGGAGAACCTTTTAAGAAATGAAAGAACATTCGAAATAAAACAAAGAGGCTGCGACAGGGGATGGGCAAGAGGCTGCAGGTGGAGGGTACAAGGTAGTCGGAAGAAGGTTGGGGACGAGGCCGAAGGGAGGAGAGTTAGAGAGATAAATAGGATAGTAGAAAGATATTTACAATCCCGGGAACGAGTCTTTGTGATAATAAGTGGTAATGAGAAGGAGGAAACTGTTGGAATGCAACGATCCTCGGGTTGCAGGTGGTTGTAATAGAGATTTTAGACGCAAGCAGCAAGTTTATTTTCCAGTTGATGCTCGATTTTGGATTTACGCAGATCGAGCGGTGCAGTATCGACTTTTATTTAAATAAATTTTGCCAATTTCAACGCGCCAAGTAACTTTTATAAGACGGTTGTTATTCAAACATGGAAAACGGAGTAAAAATAAATCCTACGTTTTGTCACGTATATTTCACATGTCGCGTGTATCCTTCAGCTTTTCAGCAACATTTCTAGCCCACATATTCGTAGAAAAAACGAGTTATCTTACTCTTAAGATCACCTCGTCTCTCAGTTCGCTCTAAACCTTCTACTGCCACCTAGAAACATGTAGACACGCGAGTGCATGTACGTATTCAAACTGGAATCAAAGACCGAAGAAGTCTCGCTCATCCCAATCCTCGACACAGCGAAGGTATCACCCTTAAAGTATCAGGTGGACTCACCCTGGCTCACATCTGCTGGACAGTGACTCCAATCTACACCCTGCAGGTCGAACAAATCAAAAGAAAACACATCTTGATAGCGATAAAGCGGGGCGAAAGAGAGTCGAAAGGTGGACGGGGGTAGAGAACGCAGAAACGTAACGAGTGGTCGGGAGAGGTCGGGTCTACGGGATGTTTGCGCGCCTATATGTATATTCCAGGGCCGAGTAAGGGACCACTGACATACGTATACGGCCAGGTAGCGTATGAAACGCCAAGTGTGTAAGTACGTGTGGCTCCATACAAACGACAGGCAACAGAGCCAAGCAGCTATCCATCAGGGTGCTTTTGTCGCCCTAATGAGAGCTTGAATTATTCAGCTTAGAGGACGCCCCTCTCTCCGAGGACCCCTTCTCACCTTCTCCACCTACTCCTCGCCCTTCTCTTTGCTTCTTCTCGGGGACTCTGCTTGCACACGCTGGAAAACTGGAGGAATTGAGAATTCCTCCGTTCGTTTCGATGCGTAGATTAACGTGCGTCCTTAAGGCCAATTTCCTGCAATTTCGTACGGAGTCGAGAGTTAGAACGATCTTTGTAGGTTTAGCGAACAGACAGGCGGAATCGACCTGTTCCTTTTCTCTTCTATCGGTTTCTGGGAGCATCTTCTTCATTGAACACACGGTCACACGGCGATATACGAAACGATCGTGTTTTTAATCTTTCGTTGAAAAACAGCAAAAGGATTTAATTTACAGAAGTAACACGTAATAAACCGACATAAAATGTATTAAATTCTGTCGCTTTTTATCGAAGGATAAATTTATTAAATTTGCAGGTAAAACCAACAAAAATTCCTCGTTACACATTGAAAATTAATTTGGAACGAAACGGTTGCAATTGGAAGCTTGACGCAAACCACTTTTTACGCCAGTCGCTGGAAACAGTCAGTAGGATTTATCCGACAAAATAGGACGAAATTACGGTTAGTCGAGCTGCTATTATGCGCGGGTTGCTTGAATCGGCCGACCCAAGAAGCTTCAGTCAAGAGCGTATCAACGTGAAAGCGACTTTTTCAATTCTCCTTTCTCTCTCTCTCTCCCTTTTCCTAGTTCCTTTACGCGATCACAGGCGTATTCAAGCCGCAGTTAGTTTCGTAGTTTGATCCCGGCCTTCGAAATCGTCTCTTAAACCTAGAACCGGCACACGCAAAAATCCCATGAAAGATTCATGGTCCATCAACGTGGAGCGTTTCTGTGCGAAGGTCGAATCCCTATTAAATCTAACGAAGAGATTTTTCGCCGGACCGCTCTTCTGGCCGGGCCAGTTCTGTCAACTAATTTCCCCGGCGATTTTAAAATCATGGCCAGAGAACGGCGATTCATTCGTGCATCGCCCCGTCCTTTTCAAAACTGGAACGTGCACCATAAATGCTTGAACGCCCCAAGACGTCGTTTTACCTCGTGAAACGTATAAATACCGAGTCTTTGCCTTAGCGCGACCTCTTTCATATATATGTTTTCTACCGGGTATTGCACACGTTCCTGGCGGCCTATGCAAAGCTCATTTCCTCGGAGATAATTGCACTGTGATATCGCGAAACTCATCCTTTTTGTGCCAGCCAGAGAAAGAGAGGCGAAAGGGGGTTTCGAGCTGGCACACTCGGGGCGAGG